TTGATTACAATCTGTAGGGTGCTGGGTTCAATCACTCCCTTCCCCCTCACACCTACGGTTTCCTCCAACAATTCTCAAGCCCCAGACACACTTTCGCCTGGTGCGCTGTGAGGTCTCTTCTGTAGTGCATCCCTCCCTGGCTGAAGTTCCAATGTCACCTCTGACTTGTTCAGTTTCTAACTCTCTAACAATGACAAGGTGAGCGATGATTCACTCAGGCTGTGGGGGAAAGCGGAACACTCAGAAAGTCTTTTCGCAGCCATGATGGCACCACTGCAACCTCAGATCCCCACACACTGGGCCCCAACTCACCAGGGCTGTCCGTGTTTGGGTGCAGCTGAGAACTATCAACCTTCCTGTTTCTACTGAGTCAGTCCTGGGAGTTGGATTCGGAGGAAAACTTCCACAGGTCATGAGTTAGGTTTTTCCTTGGTGCAGCAGAGAAGCAAGGGCAGAAAAAGAAAAAAGGAAAAGACCTTCACTGGGGCCATGGGAGGGCTGCGGAAGGGAGTGCAAAGTCCCTTAGGGGAGAAGCGGCAGCAAGCTTTTATTAGGTTTGACAGGGGGTGGAGTTTGAGGGGGCGGGCAGAATGACGTATTGACAGCTGATTGGTGGAATGCTGGTGCGCGGAAAAGCCGGAAGTTCAATTTTGGCTTGGAAAAAGAACACAGAAGTTAGTATTGAAAGGACGTGCTTTCGTCTTTAGGGTCCAGTGCCATGTTGGGCAGGCGCCATGCTGAGCCTGGCAGAACTTAACACGGGCAGAATCCATCAATGACAACCTCCGTGTTAGTGATCTGTCATCATTGCTTGAGCCAGTTATGCAGGGGAGAAGGTGGGTTCATTTGTTTTGCTTTGAAAGACTGCCGAGACGTTATGGTTTAAATCTAGATGTCCCCCACCCTCAGAGCCTCACACACTCATAGGCAGAGCTTTGGGAAGGCAACTGCATGGCTGACTTGCTGTTAGGAGATGAGGTCTGGTTGGAGAAGACAGGTCCCTGGGGGTGTGATGTGGACCTCGCTCCCGGGTCCTCCCTTCCCTGTCCTCTTGCTGTCCATCTTACCCTCTGCTACACTTTCTTCTTTGCACCCTGACAACCCTAGACTGAAACATGAGCCCAAACAAACCTCTCTGCCTTTAAATTGTGGGTGTTGGGTATTTTATCCCAACAAGAGGAAAGTGACTAAGACACAAGATTTGATCATATTTATAAACCACAGAGGTGGAAAGGGAAAGGTTGAAGATGGAGGAACATGAAAAACTAATAGAATGAATCTCCAGAGCGCTAGCATTTCAGGACATGGCTGTCTGCTTCCAGGGCAGTGGCTCCCGTCACCACGAAAGGACCTACACAGCCCACTCACTGTTTTCATTCCTTTGAAAAATGTCTTTACCAAGCTGGTGCCAGCTAGGTAGCAGCATCGGAGGATAAAGAGGTGAAGAAAACCTTTGGGAGACTGAAGCAGGAACAGCAGCGTGAGTTTGAGGCCAGATAGAGCTACCCAATGAGACTGTGTCTCCAAAAAATAAAAAAGAAAAGTTGTAGTCCCTGTTGTCACAAACAAAGGCATAGGTCCAGCTCCTAGTCAGGGAAGGCCTCTCTAAACAAGTTACCTGAGGAGTCACCTAAGCAAGGCGTGGAGAGGAGAGGTCCTCAGCAGGGGAAGCCGCATGTGCAAAGGCCCTGGATGACTCAGGGATGGGGAGGAGGCCTCAGCGGCTGGAGGGGGAAGCAGAGGGAGCCAGAGAGGCAGAAAAGGGTCTGGGCCCCCATGGCCACGCATCAGAGTTTTCAGTGTGTCCTAACTGACCAAAGAGAAGCCTTTGAAAGTCCTGCTTTGGTTTCTTTGGGATAGTAGTTTGAGTGGAAATGGTTTACTTGAAAAGTGACGCTGGGAAACAACACTGGGAGGAGTTGGAGGAAGTATCACTGTCTCTTTTTGTGTTGCTATAACAGAAAGGCAAAGCTCAGCTATTTCTAAAGAAGAGAAAATGTATCTGTTATTCCAGCACCCTGGGAGGCTGAGGCAGGAGAATTCAAAGTTGGAGCTCCACGAGGATGACTTAGCAAAAACTCATTTCAAAATAAAATAAATTAAGGGCTGGGGCTGGGGCTCGCTGTGAAGCCCCTAGGTCCAATCATCAGTACCACAAAAAGAAAAGAGGAAAGGAGAGAAGGAGGGAGAGAGGAAGGAAAGAAAGAGAAGAAAGAGGGAAGGAAGGACCAAGACAGTCCACTTGCTCCACCCCTGGAGTCCAGATCTGAGTCATCATGACTCAGGTGCTGGGCCAGACGGGGTCACTTCCCATCCCCACCCCCAGATTCCCTGATGCTTCATGGTTCGGTGGCAAGGGTGGTAACTTATTCCTGTTGCCTTAGTGCATTTTGCAGTATCTTAGGTCTTTCCACCAAGCCGGGCCAGGAGGCGAACCCTGGTCTTTTCTTCTGTCAACTGAGTTCAACTCCTCCCATCTAATTCCCCTCTGTCAAGGCCTTACTGAGAGTGGGATTGGGGAAGTGGGATGGGAGAGGACAGGGTGCTGGGCAGAAGGGAGGCTGGGAGGACCCCACTGGAGAGGAAGCTCTGAACTGTGGGATGCTGAATCCAGAGGGGTGGGACAGGTCACCAGGTCAAAGTGGGGAAAATTTGTTCTGGGAGGGAGCTCCAGGGGCCTGTGGATAAATCAGGATCCCGTCTGTCTTCCACACATACTTTTAGAGGCCATTTTCTGTCCCTGGACACAGCTGGCTAGGGGTAGATGGCCCCAGGTGACAGAGTCACATGTCGGCAGGGCAGTGGCCTGTGGGCCAGACACACCCAGGAGATTTGCCCACTTGCCGTTTTCTGCTTGGCCACCATTCACTGGGACTGAGTGACAGCTGCCCATCCCACCCCACCCTGGCAGGTACCTGGGTCTCCATGGCACTGCCAGCCTGATTGCTCCGGTGCCCTCAAAGCAGAGGCACTGACCACGCACACTTTTCTCCCTCCTGGTTACTCCGGGCCGTCCTGATGTAGGAGCTAGGGCGTGGCAGAGCAGGTTGGAAATGCGCAATGACCTGTCAGTCATAACATCGCAGAGCAATGCTAGGGCCCCGTATGTACAACTTCTCTCGAGCTCCCACGAGATGTGGATGGCACACAAAGGGCCAGCTATCACTGAAAGCCGATAATGTGTATGAGTGTGCACAGTAACCTGCACGGTGGTATGTACTTTCATTTTTTTCTTTTATTTTTTCCTCTTTGCTTGGCCCAAGTTTGCTCTGTAGGGCTGGTTTCTCCCATACCCATTTACCCCATTCTTTTCAAGAGAACTTTCGGCACCATTATTGAGTTGTCTCATTCAATTCTTTGAAGCAAGAAGGACCTGGTTTGGTGAGCCATTTCTGAAGAAACCACCCTGTAATACCTCCAGGACAGGTCCTCCCATGGCCACTTGAGACCAGATGCATGAGCTGTCTGGCCTTGGCTGTGCTCCCAGAGCTTCTGGACTAGGAACCCTGCTGCTGCCCCTTCTGGCACCTTGCTGGTGTGTTGTGGCCTCCAGGGACAACTGTCACCACCAAAGAAAGGAGAGTCATCTTTGCAGCAGAGATGGCCCCCAAGGGGCTAGAGCCCTGGAACAGGGTCTGGAGCAGGGACACTGAGGGGCCCAAGGGAAGGGACAGGAGGGAATGGCTGGACCCAGGGCAGGATGCCAGCCTCCCAGGGACAGGGGTGGGCTGCATGAGGGAGTGGGACTGAACCTGAGGGGCTGAGGAGGGAGAGGCCCAGGCAGGGTGGCACTTCTCCCTCTGGTGGACCTTGAGCAGAACGAGGAAGGAGTGGTCAGTACCTGCCAGGGCAGTTTCCAAAGGGGTTGACTTCCTGTCCCTTTCATCCCCAGAGTCAACACTAAGGCTTCTGTATTGTGTTAAGACAATGAAGTATGGATGCAGGAGTCACCTGAGGAGGAGCCTGGCCACTCCTGACAGTGGCTCTTGGTGGTTCACCTGGCTTGCTTGTGGGGTGCTGCCAGTCTTCTGGGTGATACAGCTTGCTGGGCTGGGCTTCCTCACCAGTAGTGGGATGGACCTTTGCTTTCCTGGTCCTGGGGTACCTAGCCCCACCCCAACAAACCCTCCACTTGCATCCATGGTATGGAGACCCGGCATGCAGCCCCGGCCCTGAGGCTGCCTTCACATCACCTTCAGGATTCACAAGGATGAACACTGCTCAAAGGTCCCCACTGCCCGCCGCTGGGGGTGGGCACCCAGCAGGAGATCCCAGCCCACTTCTTTGTCCAGTGTGAGACTCGCCGAGGTCACTCAAACCAGCCCTCAACTCAGCAGGCCCAAAAAAGTGTCCTGCAGCCCTCAGTGTAAAACTGGCTACACAGGGGAATGGACCCTGAGCAGCTGCCACTGTGCCTGCCAGGGACCAGGCTCCACTGGGGTGACAGCCGGGAGGCAGAGGGGATCTCAGATTTTCTCTCCACTTCTGTGACATGCAAGCAGCAGGAAGCAGAAGGAACTAGTAGCTTCTTGGGGACTGCTGGGCCTTTGGGGACTCGGGAAGCTGAGGCAATGGGGTCACCTCTGGAAATTCCCCCCCCCCCCATCACTGCAGGACCTGGGGCCCAGCCTGGCCCCTCTCTGAGCCTCATAGCTCTGGCCGACAGAGGACAGCCTAGCAGGTCCCTCAGTCCTCTCCTTCCTGCACTGGGGATTGAACCCTGGGCTGAGCCATGAGCTGCATCCCCAGCCTCTTTTCTATTTTTATTTTGAGGCAGTGTCTTGCTAAATTATTAAGTTGCCCGGGCTAGGCTCAAACTTTCAATGTTTTTGCCTCAGTCTCCCAGAGCTTTGACATAACAACAATATTTCCAGCTCTCCTCAGGAACCTTTTTAAAGATAGAGCTGTTCACATCTCCTAGAGAGCTGGCCAGGCTGCCTAGCAGGCAGACAGTACAAGGCCACCACCTGGTGGCGAGTCACAGAGAGACAAGCCAGTGCTCCACGCAGATTTGAAAGTTTATTAAAACGAAACAAAACACCAAAAAACAGCATAGAAGACCACTGGTCTTATCCCTAGGGCAGGAGAGCCCCTGAGAGAGCAAGCTGTGGCCCCCCCAGTGGTGGGAGGGAACCTCCAGGTCCCCGGAGGAGGAGCCTAGGGGAGGCCCTGCCATTCATTGTAAAGCATCTGAGATACCATGAGCCCCTCCTCAATGCAGGGGGTGCACTGGGGCCTTCTTGCAGGGTGATGAGCCTCCCTCTGCAGGAGCAGGGAGTCAAGGGCAGAGGCTGAACAGGTGACCAGGCCATTGCCAGCCACGGGTGCATGTTGTAGACGGCTCAAAGCCAGCATCACTGTCAGTGAGGAGTATGTTGGAAAGGTACATTCTCAAGGTGACCTGCTCTGGGGGAGGGGCCGGCATTCTCAAGGGATTTTGACCACACTTATCTGTGGGTCCTATGATCAGGTCCCAGGATGGTTTAGCAAGCACCTCAGATTCCAATGGCCTGGGGTCAGGATCACCACAGAGATGAAAAACCTAAGATACCCACGCCACACCCCTGGGAACCTGGCATAGTAGATCCAAAGTGGCACCAGGCACAGATTAAAATGACAACAATCCTCTGATCCCAGCAACTGTGGGCTGCTGAGGCAGGAAGATGGCGAGTTCGAGTACAGCCAGAGCAACTTAGTGACTCAGCAGCAGGCTGGCTCAGATTCACACATAAAATGCAGCTGCGATGCAGCTCAGTGTGAACGCCCTGGGTTCAGTCCCCAGTAGCACCACCACCACACACCGGTCCTGCTGCTGATGCTAATGAGGCCACACCTTATCTTCCAGCTGGGCCCTCAGGGCAGAGTGCAGCTGTTGCCCCAGGTGGCCCCCAGATCTGCAGGTCCTCTGGGGAGTAGCAGTAGTTTCTGGCATTTGGTGTATGCTTAAGCCAGGACAGGGCTGGTGATGGAGGTTTTGCTGTAAGACCTCTTAAGCACCCAGTGAACTGTAAATCCTGCTTTTACAGATGCAGCGTTTACAGATGGTGGGTTAAGGTTAAGACAGAGATTTTAAGCAACCTGCAGGTAGGATTCTGACCCAGTCCTCCCGGATTCCTTTGCTTCCTCAGTTTCCAAGAAGGAGAGCAGCATCCATCACACCTTGAGTGTGGTACCTTCAAAGGCACTGACCTCGTGATGGGATAGCTGAACCCCACAACAGAGTGCAGTTGCAGGAAAGAATTTCTCTTCTCTGGACGCAAATGCTACACGAAAAGCAGGGCCTGGGTGGTGGGGTATGGAATCACTTGTCTGATTCTCAGAGTGCTTCTTGGGCTCCCAGAGTCAGGGTGTTGAGGAAATGGGCCTCTCCCTCCAGGAGGGTATGGGCCTCCTCACCCCACTCCTAGCCCACAGCACGTAGCCTAGGTGTGCACGTCGAACCCGGCTCAGAGGGGAGAAAGAAAGACAGAGAGGGTCCACTAGAGGAGTAGACAAAATAGGGAACCATTTTACTATGAAAGATGCATCTTCCAAAAGCTCTTAAGCGAGATGCAGTCATTGCAGAGGAAGCCTGTGGTCTTCGGGGCAGGGAAGGGCTGGACCAGTTCAGTCTGACTCTGCCAGGCGAGGAAGCCCCTGGCGGGCTTGGATACGCTGTGAGAGCAGGTAGAGCTCCATGGTCGCCTTCGCGTCTTCCACAGAGCTGTGTCCAAACAGGTTGTTCTGTAGACCGACAGGTACAAGATAGGGCGAGAAGCTGGCTGAATCCAGAGGCCCAGGGCCTGCTCACTCCCAATTCCTCAATTTGCAAGGTAGGTCAGGGGGCTGGGATTTCCCCAGACCTCTGACTCCATAGGATTTGAAGTGTGTGGCCAAGTGGTGTCTGGGGGTCAAGGCACAAAATCTAGCATCATTAGAACGAGCCTAGGCCCCAGCACAGGCCCTCTGGTGGGAGACAGGGCTGCAGCCAGGCACACAGCAACTGCTCTAAGGGGCCACTGGACCAGCCAGGGACATGGGAAGGGCTGCTCAGAAAGGAGCAGAGACCGGGCCCTGCTGGTCCCTGCTGTGCAGGATGGAAGGAGACACCCCAGCTACCTGGTACCCTGAGGAGTACAAAGCACTGGGGAAACATGCAGAGGCGGTGCCCCTAAAATCAGAGCTCTGGGTAGACAATGGTGGAGGAGGTGATCTGAGGCCCCTCAAAGCCCTTGAATGCTGCGAGGAAGAGTTTGTACTTTATGGGGTGGAGGTGCTAAGGGAAGTCAGAGGCCATTCGATCCATTAAAGGGAGAGGTGACCGCCATTAGCCACCTCTCTCTGTGATACCCCAGGCCCATGTGATCTCTTCAGCTTCGGTTGGATCAGAGGATTCCTCCATTTCATGGATGGTGAAACTGAGGCTCATGCATAAGGTGAAGACTGGAGCTGGCATTGCCACTGTACAGAGTGGTCTGTGTCTGCTGTGCTCAGCCTCACACCAGGCTCTCCTGCCAGCCTGTGTGATCATCTGCTTGCCACCACTTCCCTTTCTCTGGGCCGGCCAAGTCTTGCTCAGCTATGTGCCCAGTGCCCACTAGGAAGCTGGTGCTCACTAAAGGACAGCAGAGCAGAGTAACCACACACTGTATCTGGCCCAGTGTGCAGAAAAATCAAGTGTCTACAGGTGAGCAGAGTTGTGGTATCCAGCTCCCTGGCCCCTCCCGTGGGGCACATAAGCAACACCTTGGGGGTCATAACCCCTGCTCACAGTACTGGAATTTGAACCCAGGGCCTTTGCACTAATTTTATTTTTTTCTTTGGGAGCAGGGTCTCACTACGTTGTTAAATTACCCAGGCTGAGCTAGAACCTGTGACCCTCCTACCTCAGCCTCCCAGAGTCCTGGAATTCCAGGCATGCGCCCCCACATCCTGTGGTTCTGCAGTAGCAAGAGGGGAACTGGCTTGATTTAACCACCAAAAGCACACCCGTACTGGGAGCCGCCTCCCCTGCCATCCTCACTCTAGAAGCAGGTCCTGGAGTCACCTTGCAAAGCCCATCCTTGTCTCAGGGAAGGCAGAACTAACATAACCCTGTCCCTCACAAGCACACGACCTCTCAGAGGTGAAAGGAGCAGAGGCTTTGTCCTTGAGCAAAGGGACAAGTTCAGAGTCCTGGCGGGAGAGGCAGGTCCGTGCAGGACCCTGGAGTGGCCTCAGGCAGGCCAGTTGACGGTCCTGGTGCCCGCTTTGGGGAGGGAAGGCGAGGATGGGGAGGGGAGGCAGAAGGGGAAGGGAGGTGTGGGAGGGGAGCAGCCCTCACCTGGATGCGCTTGTGCAGGAGTCGCTCGCACAGCACCCGCAGGGACACCCGCTTGCAGTGCTCCAGGTGGGCTTCGCGCCTCAGCACCCAGTCGGTGGATGTGTCATAGATGGTGTAAGCACTCATGTCCTCCTTCAGCGCCTTGAAGTCATGCTTCAGGTCATGGCCGACCACCAGTTTGCCTTTCAGGAGCTGCAAGATCTGCCAGGAAGACACGCACCCCACACATGTCCACCCGGCATCCCACAGTGGCCTCCGGTGGGTCAGGGCTGGCACAGAGAGGCCCCTCCTCAGCTCTCAGGATGGCCCGAGATCCAGGTGAATATCACCCTCCCTGGCCTTCAGATGTACCGTCTCTGACAAGAGGAGGTAGACCAGTCCCTCCTCAGGTGCAAGAGTTCACATCAGTGCCTGGAGGCCCCTGGCCCCGTGGCCTACTGACCACTTCCTGTGCCAGCCCATGCGGGACCGTGCCACCAGCTGTGTCCCTCAGTCCTCTGCACAATGCTGTGGCAGCAGCAGGATAATGACTTCCCGAAGCCTTGCACACCCTGACCCCAGAAGATTCGACCCTGCTCCATGGAAAAAGTGACTGTACCCAGAGAAACGTCCTGGATTATCCGGATGGCCTCACGTAATCACAGGTCAGAGTGAGTCTATGTGAGAAGGACTTGTGAGCTGTAGCTAGCTTGGAAGTTGGAGGAAGGGGCCCAGGTCAAGGTACCCAGGAAGCTTTTAGAAGCTAAAGGTTGAGCTAGGCCTCCAGAGGACCAGCCCTGGTGGCACCTTGCAAACCCAGCAAGAGATTATGTTGGACTTTGAACCTACAAAAACTCTAAGATTATAAATGTGTATCATTTGAAGTCACTAAACTGATGGCTTTTTTAGCAGCCTTAGCAAACTAATTCAGTGAGGAGGGGTGCTGGCTGTATTGAAGGGAACTTTACAGAAGAAAAATGTACTTATGGTAATTTGCCTCTGCTGGTTTTTATTTTTTTATTTTGGTACTGGGGATCAAACTTACCAGGCAGGCACTTGTGCCACTGAACTAAATCCCCAGCCCTTTCTGAAGGTTTTAAAGCAAGTTTGCAGATTCCTTCACATGCAAAAAAAAAAAAAGTGGAATCTAATCCCCTCCCCAGGCATCTAAGGTGGCTTGTGTGACTCCTGACTTCGGCAAGATTTGGAATTCTAGGAGCCTTGAATGGACATGGAAGAAGCTTGGTTACCCCAAAGCCACCAGGCAGTAGAAACCTTGGGGAGAGGCCACCCAGGAATAGAGACAAGTCCAAGGAACCCCAGGATCTGCTACAAGACATGTGGTGGAAAGACTTTCCTCTCCAGCCCCTGCCTCCAGAAAGCTCAGCTGACGCTCCGCCCCCACCGTCCAGCCCTGCAGGTGCACAAAGGACTCAATGTTGACACTGTGGAACACTAACTCTGGGTGATTCGCTAAGCACCCTTACAGAACTAGAACAGTCATGTGGCTCGTTGGTGGCAGCGCCAGGTCTCTAAGCACTTGCTTGTCACTGTCACATTGGCCCAGGTGTGGTGGACAGGCCCAGAGCACCACCCATCGGCGTCCTGCACATGTGACCCGGTGCCCTCTGGCTGCCTCACCCATGTGAGCCACCTCCTGTGCCCCAGTGACACCCTAATCAGAGTTGTTTAACTTGGCTGCCATTAGAGAGGATGACGGGGGTTGGGGTGAGGGTGGGGGAGCTGGGGGGTGGCCAGGGCAGGGGACCGGAAGAGGGCAGTAGTACCAGGTCTGGGGTGCAGGGCTGACTGTGGCTGTTTGGGCCGTTTTCTTTCCCTTTCTTTCATCTCCTCCTTCTCTTTCTTGGTAGTAGAGACTGAAGCCAGGAGCCTGCATATGCCAGGCGAGCTCTGTCACTAAGCTGCACCCCCAGCATCCTCACCTCCTATCTTTTGAGAAGGGTCTTGCCAAGCTGCCCAGGTTGGTCTTGTACTTTCAACCCTCCTGCCTCAGCCTCCTAGAGCTGGGACTGCAGGCATGGGCCACCACACCTGGCTTGGGATTCTGTGCTCCTAGAAGGCAGTGTGATGCTGCTGGTCCAGGGGGGACATGACTTCCGAGCAGCAACTCAGGAGAACCCGGGGTGGAAGAAGGGGACCACAGAGGGAACACAGAGGGGGCCACAGAGGGGACACAGAGGGGACACAGAGGGGGCCACAGAGGGAACACAGAGGGGGCCACAGAGGGAACACCGGGAGGCAGAGGCTGTGGTCATGTGACTGTTCTTGCCAACACCCTTTATGTTTCTGAACAATGTGACCTGTTTTTCCTGTCTAAGAGCCTGGCTCGGGCCCAATTCACACAAAGTACTGAAGAACTCACCCTCGTCCAGAGACAGCCATTGCTGGTCCCAGACACAAGAGGGCCAAGCATCGGATCTGTGGATTCCTGGGAAATTCATCACTTCCTGAAACCCAGACTTGGGCCGGCATTGGGCATTGTGGGACTCCCAATGAGACAAAACAAGAGGCAGAAGAAGAAAGAGGAGGAAAGGAAAAAAGAGAACCTGCGTAGCAGAGACGCTAATGACTCCGAAGGGCAGGGCGGGGAAACCCCACTGCACTTGCTGGGTGGCCTCGCTGGGCCTCCACGTTCACATTTGCAAGTGTTGCACTGGTGAGATCTAAACAGCTCGTCAGCAGCTGGGGCTCTTCCAACTTTCCGGTGCAGGGCTGGCTGGGCGGGAGGGGGTGCCAGCAGCAGGCAGGGCCTCGGGGCTGTGTGACCTGCTGGCCTCGGGACCTGTCACGAGCTAGGCATGCCAGACTTCACTAAATAGGGAGTGGAGACTCATTCCTGGAAAGAACTGCGGCAGGCATTTGCCACTCCTCCCTTATCAGCGGGGCACCGGGCCAGGTGCTTGGCTTGCCTCAGCTCGAGGCTCCTCCTCGGGACTATTCTTAGTTCCATTTTAAAGGAGCAGCAAGACCAGAAAGGTCGGGGGCTAGAGTTGCAAGCAACATGGCAGCGCCGGGGATCCATCTGACCTCATCAGAATGAAGTTGTTGAATGAAGTTGTTGGGGCTGGGGATTTAGCTCAGCGGCATAAGCGCCTGCCTTGCAAGCAGGCAGTCGTGAGTTCGATCCCTGGTACCGATAAAAAGGAAAAAGACAAAAAAAAAAAAAAAAAAAAAAAAAAGAATGAAGTTGTTATCAGTACCACCTGTGAGTGCTTGAGGACAGGGGACACTTCTGGGGCTCCAATGGCACACAAAGAAGAGAGGCTCGTTTTACTATCTGACCAACTGTAGGAAGGATGCAGAGGATCCCGCCCGCTACGGTCATTTTTGGGAGTAGCAACCATAACCTCTAATCCCCTGCCCCACACTCTGGCTGCCCCAGCTCCTAGCTTGTGCCATCTGCCCTGGGGTTATCTAGGCGGCGAATTTTTCCTGCATCTGGCTGAGTTCCAGACAGACCCACCAGGTGGCAGAGCCCTAGCGGGACACTCTGACCCATGCAAAAGCCACTCTTCAGTCACAAACTCCCTCTGCATGTACTCCTCCAAAACTACAGGCTTTGTAAATTAGGTACCGGTTAACAAAAAGAGTTTTAACTCAACAAAATTGGATTACAAGCTATTAAACCTTACCACCAAGTGGGAGCCCTGAATTGTGTCACAGCTTTCTGAGTGTCCTTAGGGAAATCACTGACCCCCTCTGGACCTTGTGGAAGGTTCTTGAACAAGGACATGGCCCCACAAAAATACCTGCAGTACTGTGTCATCCTCATGTTGCAGAGGGCTCTGCTCAGGTGGCACAGAGCGGGCAGGAATGGGCTGGAGGACTCAGAGCAATTGGGGGCAGAGCAGGAACAGGACCCAGGTCCAGTCAGTGTGTTTGCTCCATGCCCTGCGGCTGCATGTATGTGACAGCGGCTGCACAAAAGGGACCAGCAAGTGCCAGCAGGACAGAGGCGGCTTGGCTGCACTCAGCCACCAGAACCTTCCGTACTTATGGAACCAGCACCACCAGCCCACAAGCACTCCTCCCCTTTCAGAGTGCCTGCCCAGCTCCTGGCCTAGTGCAGAAACAGGAAGTTGTAGGAGATGGAGAGGGAAACAGACATGTGTGGGCAGGAGGAGGGGGTGAGAGGTCCCCCTGTGGGGGCAGGAGGGACAGGGACAGGGACAGGGAGAGGACAGCACCCCCCAGGCTCCTTTCCCATGGGGATGGTGGCACGGGGCTGGAAGGTGGGCAGCACAAGGCTGAGGCTGGAGGCCGGATGAGTGGTGCAGAGCTCAGGGAAAGCAGGTGCGTGAGGGGCAGAGCCCTGGGCTTGCGCAGCTGAGGCTGCGGGGAACAGTGGGAGGTCCAAAAGGTGATCCAGTATATGGTAAATATTCACATTAAAAAATGTTTTATGAGCCAAATGGGATGGCACATGTCTGTAATTCCAGCACTCAGGAGGCTGAGGCAGGAGGATTGACTTGAGTTCAAGGTCATCCTGGGCTACATAGAGAGTTTAAGTCCAGCCTGAACTACATAGTGAGACCCTGTCCCCAAAAATAAAAACAAAAAAATGATCGTAGTAAAGCATATATGCATCACCAAGAGTCCCCTCAAAATCCTCCCCTGACATCAAGCACGCTTATTCATCATCTGGCATTTTCTGAAGAGCTCTGGAAGTCCCCTTCCCTGAGTGCCTTTATAAGACATGATTAAAATACAGTGCATGCTGCTGCCGAGTGCCATCCAACTGAAAAACACCACACCGTCCTGGTCTATCTTATTCACTGGATCCTGCACCGCGTGACTTATATCTCTTCCCTAAAGACAAAATGGCCCTGAAGGTCCACGTTTTCAATTGATTCAGGACATCAAGGCAGCCACAAGAGGACAACTAAAGACACCCACGAAAGAGGACCTTCAGAACTGCTTCAGACAGGGGCCAGAACAGTGGGCTGTGTGTGCTGGCAGTGAGGGCTAATATTCTGAGGGGGATTCACGGCAATGTATCTTTTACTGTAATAATGTTTTTAATCAAACATTCACCAGATTTGTTGATGCGAGCCACGTGGCTGACAGTAGCTGGGGTCTGAGCTGCCCTGGGGACATTGCTCAGGCAGCTGAGAGGTGGGCAGCAAGCAGCACAGGAGATGGGAGCACTGGACGGTGCTTTCAGAATTAGAAAGGTCCCTCTCAAAGGCCTGTGCTCAGGGTCCCAGCTGTGTCCCCATCGCCACCTGAGGCCACGCAGGAGCAGAAGCTCCACAACTTGGCTCGGGTCCCACAAACCAGGCAGTGAGATAGACAGGCCCCGAAAGCCCAGATGTGGTTGTGGAGAGCTGCTGGTGGCCACAGGCACCCACTCTGGGCAGGGCTTTGTGACAGGCACCTGTGTCCTGAGGCTCATCGAAGTTCTAGTTGGGGGATGAGACGGAGCAAGGTGCCCCGGCCCCCAGGGCCAGCGCTCAGGATGCCAGGGATTTGGAGTTTCCTTTCTGTGCACCCTCTGGCCTCTTCTGCACCTTGTGTCACTTTGATGGGAGAGAAGCTGGGGGTGAGGAGAAAGGATGAGGATATATCCACCGGGGCTGCTCAGTGGGGACCTTAGTTAGGGAACACCAAGCCATGTCCCTGAACAAACCCCTTCTCTTCCCTGTATTGCCCTTCCTGGCTTCTCTTCTCTGGCCTCCTCCCACTCTCCCCTCACTCCTGTGTACGCTCTACAACTAGTTTTCTTGAAACTAGTTTCTATCCAGCCATACCCTTGCTCAAGAATCTTTAGCGGCCTGCTATGGCTCACCGGATGATATCACATCCGCTTTCCCCATTCTTCTCAAATGCCTCTGGCCACACGTGTCTTTCCAGAACCACACTGACACATTATGCTCCTCTCTGGGGCTCTGCTGTTATCCTTTTGATGTGTCTAGAACAGTGTCATCCAATAGAAATAGAATGTGCCACAGATGTAATTTTAAATCACTTAGCAGCTATATCTATTTATATTTATTTTTATTTTTCATTGGTACCACGCATCGAACTCATGACCGCCTGCTTGCAAGGCAGGTGCATATGCTGCTGAGCTAAATCCCCAGCCCCAATAACTATATTTAAAAAGAAGCTGAATTTGGTGCACACACCAGTACCTAGCACTTGGAAGGCTGAGGCAGAAGGATCATGAGTTCAACCTGGAGTACTAGGTGAAAGCCTACATAAATATTTTTAAAAGGTAAAAAGGGACAGATGAAATGAATTTTAATGTTTCTTTTAGCCAACACGTCAAAAACATGATCATTTCAATATATAATCAATATTTAAAAAGCATTAAGGTATTGCACGATTCCTTTCTTAATACTAGCCCGTCTCAGCTCGGACGAGCAGGACTGGAGCTGGGTTTTTGGGTTTGCACCCTGACCCCTGGGCAAGTTCCTCAGTGCAATAAACTGCCTTGTCTCCTCCTCCCCAATGTGCATGGTGAAATCCTAACCCTATTATCTCCAAGTCTGGCTTATGTGGAAATAGGGGCACAACAGACACACGTCACTGCTCAGTGTCAACAGACAAGGATTCCAGGACCCCCAAATCCCCAGGCGCCCGAGTCCCTTGTGTGAGATAGCACCCCTTAAATCATCTCTAATAATGTATGGCCCCTAATGATAAAATGTAAATGGTATCTGAATGCTGTTAGACTGCTGTTTAGAGAAAACAAGGAGAAAAAAGTGTCTGTACATGTTCAGTGCGGACAGATGCACTTTTCTTTCCAGCACTTTCAAAAGTCCCTGCAAGGGACTGTGATTGTTTTTCCTCCGGTGTGGGCTGGGTGGGTGGGTGAGGGAAGCCTCAGTTCCTGTGTCCTTGGACTTCCCCAGCCCCACAGTGACCAATGAGCTCCCCTTGCCCAGCTGAATCTTCCCAGAGGTGAGTAGCCAGGGGAAAACCTCTAGGTGACTTCAGTTCTGTTTTCCCCTTTCTGTTTCAGAGAAACAGAAAGTAATACCTAAAGCTGCTATCAGCAAAGCTAAAAAAGCAAGCGGGTGGGGAATCCTGGAGTTGGAAACCTGGGCTTCATAATGAGTCGGTGGGCTGCCCTAAGCCAGTGGGGAGAGACCTCTCTCAGGCCCTGGATCTGGGGTGCTCCAGCCTGATCTGCAGAACCGGCTCCTGTGAGCTGCTTACCACAGGCTCCCTTGTGGAGGCCCAGCGTAGGGGAAGAGGGGGAGGTAGCCTCTGTCATTCTATGGAGGAGCATCAGGTGGGACTTAGTTTGCCCGTGAGTCCAGAAACCAGATGTGAATGTTGGTTTCTCTGGCGGTGAGAGGGCTGCCCTCCCTGCAGCAGAGCGTGGGCTTTTCCCCAGTGGGGCTGCAGGTCCAGGGCAGCAGCTGGGGACGCACTGCTTCCCTGGCCCCTGACTCACCTCTCGTCTGGCCTCGGCGAAGGGTGTGGCTGTCTCCATGTGCAGGCGTGTGACCCCGCTGACCCGGGTCCTGTAATCTGTGATCACCCCCTCGGGCCGGATGAACTTGTCATACAGCACAGAGCCGGTGGAACTCACGAGGCTGCAGCGTGCCAGGCCGCTCTCCTGCAGTGGCCCCAGCCCCACCATCTCGCAGTCCATGGCCACCGCCTCCAGGCTGTCCGCCATGTTCCGTGGGGGCCCTCAGAAGTGCCGGGGGAGGGACCCTCAGATGTGCTGGGGGAGTGTCACGCGGGGTGGTCACCACCCAGCCGGCCTGCACCCTCCCCACCCTGCCCTTTGTCTCCAATGTCACCTGGCAACAGGGGAAGCTGGCCTCTTGCCACCCACTAGGTTTCCCAGCGCTGGGTCCCGGGCCGCTGGTCCTGTCCCAGCAGCCTGAAGCCTGAATACCGGGAGGTCCCCTCCCTCGCCTCCGCTCTCACCTTTCTGCCTTGGCACCCTCAGCTGAGTCTGCCTCTTTGCTGCCACCGCTCAGCCACTACAGGCGCTCTGAGCAGTGACTCATCCCTCACTAGGAGTCGGGCATCCTGACACTGTTTCGGTTTCCAGTTTGTTTCAAGGGAAATCAGGGGCGGGAGGCTGGCAGTGGGCCGGGCTACTTCATCTCCCAGGTAGGGAGCTGGCGCGCTGCTGAGTCAAGCAGGCTGTCCAGGTGTCCCTCCTCTGCCCTGCCCTCCCCGCTCTGATCAGCGGCATGTGTGGTTGCAGTGAGTTGCTACATCTTGCTTTCTAACCCTCCACCCAGAAAACAAACATCCCCAGGACTGGAGCCCGGAACATCCCCTGCTCCTAGGGCTGCCGGTCTGACACTGTGAGGTCTTTTACGGGGCAAGGTGAGCTGCTCTTGGTACGCGGAGGCTGTTAATTGGGAAGGGCAGGAGGTTGGGGTTGGGAGGCCCTACCCCCAATCCAGGGCAGGCAAGGAGGCCACCCCTTCCTCACGCCCTCCATGGCTCAGGGGCACCACCTTGAAACAGACCTCTGTCTGCCCTCTGACAAGGAGAGGGACATGGAGACAGAGGTAGGCCTTGGGGAACCCTCCAAGTCCTGCCAAGAAGGGTGACCCTGTCTGGGGCCAGAACCCCGAGTTCTTACAGGAGCAGTTGGCACGGAGACAGCATTCAGTACTCAGCACATGAGAATGAGTTACCCTGGGGTCAGAAATGGCATCGCTGGGGCTGGGGATTTAGCTCAGCGGCATAAGCACCTGCCTTGTAAGCAGGTGGTCGTGAGTTCGATCCCTGGTACCGGTAAAAATGAAAAAGACAAAAAAAAAAAAAAAAAAAAAAAAAGAAATGGCATCGCTGTCCGGGGGCACAACCTGCGGCTCTGCAGGCTGCGGTGGAGCGGGTATGATGAGGGGCGACACCCCCACTTCGCTGCCTCCCTCCTACCTTGGCCCTTCGGAAACAGCACGGATCCACGTGCTGGTTGCTCTTGGCTGTCACCAAGATTTGTGGCTGGCAAGGGAACTTCCCCAGATTCACCGTGTTTTCACCAAGTGAGACGTCAGACTTTAACAGACCCCCAAAATGAAACCAAATGTTGGACTGCGTCTTGGTATAAGGCTTCTTTCCTCTCTGCTGTGTGGCTGGCTCACATCTGGGGTATAAAAGAGAATTTTTGCTTCCCATGCTGCATGAGTGAGTTTTGCCCACATCAGACCGGTGGCTTTCTGCTTTTCAAACGCGTTGACAGTGGTTACAATCCGAGGAATCCCTCCGGAATCGACCACAGCACCCTGATCAGACCCCTCTATGCTGCCCCCTCCCGGCACAGCTGCCCCTGGGGACTCAGTGGCAGCCTTGCGGTGGACAGAAGCCACTGTCTCTGTGCTTTCTCAAGCCTCTCAAGCCTTGTTCTTGGCAGGAGCCACAACCCCTCTTCCTGAGCTGTTCCCTCCCCGTGACCCCACAGCCTGTGTGAGAGCAGCTGGCCTGGTCTCTTGTGCCAGAGCGTCCTTCTCAGGTTTGTTGAGACCCAGCCTGTCCTGTTGAGCTCAGTCCGCTGCTCCTTTTCCTTTTTTCCTAACAGCAGTGATTTAGGGAGATCGCTTCTCCCGGTCTTTTGGCTAAGACCACGTGTAGCACAATGATTTAGAGGGAGAAGCAGCAGCATAAATAGGTGAGAAATTCATGTTACTTTTAAGTGCATTTAAAGAGCAACCCCCTAGAGGTCGGACTGGAGGTTTGTTTCTCCATTTACCACAGGACCCAAGCAGTCGGTGGCAATCCTGGGTCTCCCAGAAACCACAGAGTTCTTTGTCACTCCCCACCCCCATCTTGAAGTCTTCCCTCTTTGCTCCTTCTCTGGTCCCTCCTCACCTATTCTGTGCACCTGCCTTTGTCTTCAAGGCTTGACTGAAATTGTCCAAGTTCTACCAGTACTGTTTGTCATGATTCTCCTCAGCTTAAGAACTTAGTGAGTTCCTGAAGGGCTGGAGAGAGACAGAGACAGAAAGAGAAAGGAGGAGAAGAAGAAACAGGAAGAATTAAAAATTAGTACTTAGAAACAATGGAGCTGAGAAAGTCATTTTTTATACCCATTTAAATTTAAAACAGCACTGTGTTAGGTTTTTTGTTTGTTTTTTGAGACAGGGTCTCACTATGTAGTTCAGGCTGGCCTTGAGCTCACTTTGTAGCACAGGCTGGTGTCGAAATCACAATGATCCTCCTGCCTCAGCCTCCTGAGTGCTGGGATTACAGGCTGAGCCACCAAGCCCGGCTAGCACTGTCTTAGTTACTTTATTGGTTGCTGAGGCAAAGTAGCTGTTTAGTCAGGCTTTGCAAGGGAACAGCTTTAACACAGGACACGATTTATAGGATTATTTTCTAATATTCACCCAAAAAGTCAAATGCAGAAGAGTACAAGCGATCTGTCCACACACTAGGAACTCCAAGAAACCAACTAAGAGCCTGGATCCCATGGCAATGTCCTGCACAAGTCCAGCTGAAGACCTAAAGCCCACTGGCAATGTGTCATACAGGTCTCTTATCAGGAATCTGTGCTGGGAAGGCCCAAAGGTCAGTGGAGGGAGCTAGAATTCTTTCTGTGCCAGCTGGATGAAGGAGCTGTGTCAGCAGGCTGAGAGATCTTCACAGGAGCCACATAGCAGAGCTCGAGGTAAGGACCAGAGCTCCCCTTCACCCCCCCACGAAAAGAAATGCAGCCATCCTCAGCGACAGCGAGGACTGAGCTCCTTCAAAGATGAGACCAGCTGAGTTCATATTGGGAAGCCCACACGACAAGCTCCTCCAGGAGAATGAACCGCACACCGTCTTCCCCTCCAGTTCGCCTTGTATGCTCTTGGCAACAATCCTTAGCCAAATCCATCCAGATGGGCTCTTCTCCGGCTGGAACCATGCAGGATGTCAAAGAGAAGAAAAAGAAGGTTCCTGCTGGGCCAGAAACCCTTGAGAAAAAGCAAAGACATTTCCCAGAGCTGAAGGTAAAGAGCCTGAGAAAGAAGTTTGCCCAGAAGATGCTTCGAAAGGCAAGGAGGAAAATCATCTATGAAAAAGCCAGGTACTATCAGGAAGAGTACAGACGGATGGACAGAGTGAGGTTCACATGGCTAGGAGGGCAAGACAAGCTGGCAGCTTCTATGAACCTGCAGATTCCAAACCGGCATCTGTCATCTGGGTCAGGTATCAATGGTGTGAGCCCAAAGGTCCACAAGGGTTGCAGCTTCTTCATCTTCACCAGATCTTCAGTGGTACCTTTGTTAAGCTCAACAAGGCTTCAGTTAACATGCTGAATCACATGGAGGTACCCAAACCTGAAGTCAGTAAATGACAGTCGAGGCTATGGCAGAATCAGTAAGAAGCGAGTTGCCTTGATTGATGACTCATCGATTGCTCGATCTCTTGGCAAGTACTGTTGGGAGCCGCGGCTGAGCCCGGTCGCCTTACTTGGCGGACGTGAGGCCTGTAAGAAAGAGCAAAGCCTGAGCTAGATTACCCCTCCCATCGAGTGAGCCAAGTTGGCGCCTGCTTCCTGCCCCCTGATTGCCCTGGCGACTTAAACAACCCGCTCTGTAAGATAGTCTGCCTAGCAACAACTGATGTTAGCCAATCAGCCCGCATCGCGCGCTTTGAACTGATTGGCCACTGTTACCCTATAAAAGTGAGTGCCTCTCCCGCCACGAGAGAGAAGCACAGAGAGAGATAGAGGAAGTCCACCGGTAAGAAAGGACTGGTGGCAGAGCGGAGGCCTCGCGCGGCCCACGCGGAGACAAATAAAGACAAGGTTGCACACCGTCAGAATCTGTCGTGTGTTCTTCCTGCCGGCCGGGAGCGACACTGACAAAGTACAGCATCATTTGCACGGAGGATCTGATTGATGAGCTCTATACCACTGGAAAATGCTTAAAGAAGTAACTTCCTGTGGCCCTTCAAACTGTCACCTCCATGAGGTGGAATGAAGGAAAAGACCACCTGTTTTGTGAAAGGCGGAGATGCTGGAAACAGGGAAGACTGGATCAACAGGCCTATTGGAAGGATGAACTAAAATACCTACCATGATTTGGTCAGTTGATAAAAAGTGTCTGCTTCCAAACTGAAACAAACAACCCCAAATCCATCCAGATGGACCTTCCACACCCAGAACCATGCTGATTCGGTTCAGCTGGGTGTTACAAGTTGCCCATTAGTTGATCTACCCCAGTGCCCAATACCCACCCAACTTAAAGGAGGAAAGGTTGACTTCAGCTCAGTTTGCAGAGAGGTCAGTCCACAGTCAGCTGGTTCCAAAGCAGGGCGGCATGGCAGGGGCATCACAAGGAGAAGCATTCTATGATGTGGCGGGCAGAAAGGCAACAAGCAGCCAATCAATGAGCAGCTGAACGCCTGCCTTTCTTTTCTCTTTCCATTCCATTCAGGCTGAGACAAACATATTGACTGGGGCCAGCTGCACCCAGGTTGGGGCTTCCATTGTCCACATTTTTAATCGCAGTGCCACACTCTTAGCCCACACCCTAACTCAGCCACCTTTCAAACCGCCCACTGTTGTAGCTTGGCATAACTGATGCCAATTTTTTTTTTTTTTTTTTTTTGGGTACCGGGGAATCAAACTCAGGACCTTGCGCTTTCCAGGCAGACACTTACGCTGGTGAGCTAAATCCCCGGCCCTCTGACGCCATCTTGTCCCCTGTATTTGATCTGAAGAGTGAAAAATTACTCAGGGTACAAGCCCCATAAAAAAAGCAGGATGAAAAAAAAAATAAATAAAAACCAGAATGAGCTGTACCCACAAGAGAGAAAAATTAACCTGCTCAACAAAGAAGCAGGATACAGGTGTCAACCAAAATTAATGTAAGATTCTAGCTAAATTGTTTCCAACAAGATGTCTTGCTTTGGTTTTTTGCTTTAAATACCCTGTAACCCTCCAGCTCTGGGCCACTGAGTTTGACTCTGAAACAAAGACTGAGCTCAGCTAATAAAATCCCAAAATTTATCAATTTGG